CGCCGGCTCCCCGAAGGGCTGCGCTGTGCCTGTGTCAGGATTCCCTTCGCCCTCTCCGCGGGGGTGCACGCAGGGGACGGAGCTCAAGGCAAGAATAATTAAAAAAGGTTTTGCCTCTTAAAAAAAAAAAAAAAAAGAGTTTGCTATTTTTTTTTTAAATTACACTTTTTTGCCGATAAGTAGCAAATGTGGTTTTCATTAGAGCGCCCAACTCGCTGTCCCATCCCACCGCGGTGCCCCGGTGACCCCCGCAGCCTCTATCAATTGTGTGTATCCGTACAAACAACGGGGAGAAGAGACTGAAAAAAGGTGAGGTGCCTTTTAAATGCCTCCTCTGGAAAATACATAATCTTAAAACAATGACTAATTGCAAAGGAGCTTCACCCAGACAGCAAACACCACGGAATTCCTCCAAATGCCTTGTAAAATACCCATTGTGGAGTCTAGATGCTTTGGTCTCCTTGCAGGCACCCTTCAAACCTGCTTGCTGCTGCTTAACTCTTCCCTCTTCCTGCAAAAGATCATTTGCATTCCAAGAAAATTGCATGTAGTTTATAGTCCCATGAGCCTTTATGTGGGTGGTCCTGCTTTTCGTTGACCCCGTAGTACTCGGGGTTACCTTGAGTGTCTTGCCCAAAATTTACTATCCTGTAAGTTGTACCAGTGTGTTGCTCACCCTGGCACAAAGGTAAACCTAACTGCAAGTAAATAAGTGTACTATGGTTATACAACTGAAGAAAGTGTCGCATAAATGTATAATATCATGTTACCTATACATTTGTTCCACAATAAATTTAATAGTTGGAGCCTTCTGAGATGTTGAAGTCCTCTCTAAAGCAAATGTTAGAGGGTATACAGCATTCTACAATATAAGCCAATGCTCATATTTTGGAAATTAACGAAAATATCTTCCTGATAGATTTACAGCTGTGGCTGTCCCATATTTGGTGAAATGGGGGAGTCACAGAGATGTGTTGATTTTAGGAAATCAGTTTACATAATACTGATAATAAAAAAAAATATATAAATGCATTCTCATCTCTTCATGCATACGATTCAGGGTCCTTTGCTAACAAGCTTGCCAATTTTAAGTAATTAGTAACCACACTTATCTTTCCCTTCCTTTTATTCAAACATGTACACCTGGGACACAACCACATCTATTGATACTTGCCCAAAATGCAGCTCGCTGTTTCTGAAGAATAACAAGCCTGCATTTGGTGTGAAAAGCTGAATGTGCCCACACTGAAGTTCTGCTGGGCTACAAAGGAAGGTGGCTGGTGCTGGAGGGGTCCCTTAAGCAGATATTCTTGCATGCGCCATCTGGTGCACAATAAACAAGGAAAAAGCTGATTTAGAAACACAGTCTGCTATCCCACATCCACACGGTGTGTGTGGAATAAATCTCCAAAGAGAAACTGCAATTTCTGTCTGCCCATTTTTCTTCCCTTTGTTGTTCACAATACCTGCATTTCTACACCTTCACCAAATTACTATGGCTGCACAGACTGCAGATGTTTTTATCTTTACAAAAAGCATAATGTTTAACTGGCTGTTTTTTTTCTCTACAGCTGTAGTAATCTTGAGTAGCACTATGAATATGACCATTTGTTTAACAGTTTTGCTATGGGAGGAAGCGCTAGGACAGGAGCACAATAAAGTTCATTATGCTTCAGGATACAGGGCTGCAAGGAAAATACTCTCAGACTTCCTTCTGTTTTGAAAACGTAGTCCGTGCACTACTCCTAGAATAGGAGAGAAGCTTTACAAGATAGTGTTCCTGCAGGACTTGTGTCCTCAAAGACATCAGTGCTACAGATAAACCTCATTTGAGTAAGTCTTGCAACACCCTGATGCCTTGCTTTCTCCACCGGTAAAACAGAAATACCAAACCTTCAGTTCCATGTGGTGCTGATCCAAGGCTGCATTCCCTGGGGATTTCAAAATGCATGCAAAATACTGTTCCAATGCCAGGATGGTAAACCTGTTTGGGGGATAAGAATGCAGGTAAGGAAAATGCAGAAGCACAGAACTTTGCTTCCAGCTTGGAGGGCAAAGCTCAGAGGTGACCTGTAACAGATCTGGGAGGAGAATAAACAGCAAGATTCCAACTGTTCTCTCTTTTTTTTTTTTTTTTTTTTTAAACTCATCAAACTACTTTGTTATAGACGCTAGTACAGTTAAATCTGTCAGGGCACTTAGTTGTAAGTGCAGTTTTACCTTAAGCATATAATTTTAATTACTTTAAGTGAGTTCTTGAAACAAGAAATCTGAGTTAAGAATATCACATACTTCTCAGCAAGGATACAAAAACCTTCACAAACACTCATAGTAGTGGCCCTGTTTCTCCTTTATGCCTACAAAGAGCAAAATCATTTCAGGTATTAGATGAAGCTCATAGAGCCTGCTGCTGCAGGCTGAGTGTGTGGGTCAACCTCAGTGGGACTTGCGGGGTGATACGGGAGAATTCTCCTAATCCCCCTGGAGCCTGAAATCTCTTCCTAAATGCCTTTGTTTTCCGCCAGGCAGGAAAAGGATGGAGTGTGAAGGAGGTTCCATTTGTTGCTTTCAATACCCCAGGCTCAAGGACAGCTGACACTGGTACTTGTAGAACAAAGGTACCTACATTTAGCAAACCGAACATCTTTAACATAAGAAGGGTGACTTTTACATGTTACAACCAGAAGTCCATCTGAATGCTTTGCATGTTTATTGCCTATTGCTGTTTCTTCCAAGTTCCTGTGGTCGTTTGGTGGCACAAGCAGCCTTACAAGCCTTTATCTCAGCAAGCGGAGTTAAAAGCAAGCAGGAGCTGATCTCTGCTGGTCTTTGCTGAGGCAGCGCAGGTTGTGTGCTTGTACCTTAAACAACAGCGCCAGCTGGAGTTCATGTCCCCTTGCCGGCTGGAGCTGGCTGTCCCCTCGCCCTGAGGATGCTGCGGGGCTTGGGAAGAGCTTATGATATAAACTCTCCCAGTCAGATCCCCTTGGAGCCAACGGGAGTTTGGCCACTCTTCAAACTCATTTCTCTTTATCAGAAGAAAACATGCGTTCTCTATGACTGGCGGGTAGACATAGGCTCATGTCACAAGCATTCAGCATTATAATTTCATTTGGACCCAAATGTCATGTCTGTTGTCCAGACTTTCTTATGGACTATTAGGTCAAATACAGTTACGGAGAGACCCCAACCTGGATATGAGGAGGATATGGTATGGATATATATCCCCAAAAGCCTGGATTATAAACGGCATTGGCTGAAAAGACAGAATGGAAAATACTTTTAAGGTCTGGTATTTGATTTCATCCTCAGTAATTTGTGAAGATAAATCCCTTGTGCAAAGGAGATGTTTAAAACACAGAACTAGAGAAACTAAAGAATTCACAACATGAGTGATTTGGGTATCAAATTTTTACGAAGCTTCTTTAGTTGAGTGCTGGATACCAAATTTATGTCCATGGAGATAATGTAAGTATATTTTTGCATATTGTATGTGCCATCATAATTAAATAAATATGTAAAATCAGGATGAATTACTCGTGCTGTCTCTATAGTCATAACTTGTACCATACTAGCAGGTACTTTCAAGAAAATAAAGCATCTTCCTAAATGTACTGAATGTAATGACATACCATGGCTAAACACCTGCGAGCACACCATAGGTGAAAAATTCTGGCTTTCCCTTCTGCTGCAGCTCCAGGACACGTACTCAAAGAGCGGCGTTGCTTGTCTCACCGGGGAGGAAATGGGGAATTTAATCCAAAACTTGGATCTAATCGAAAGTGAAGACAGAGTGGCTGATTCCTG